GTCTCCAGACCAGTGACTGAGAACAGCTGAGTTCTTACAGTCATCTGGGTGTAGCTTACTTTGCTCAAAATACTGCATTTTAAGAAGCCCAAGCCTCTCTTTCCTTTCTTGAAGATTTTGAAAAGTATTTTTCTTGATGGAGTTGACTACACTTAAATATTTATAATTTCTATCACTTTCTACATGTAGAACCTGCCCCTTTTTCCTCCTCATTCTTGTCCAAAGATAATTTTTAAAAAATCTTTCCGACAGACATCAATATAATAACGAGTTGTTACCTTGGGGACAGAAAAGATTAGGATAAGGCCAAAGGGGCCCTGTAGCCTTGTAATGATTTTTTTTTTTTTTTTTTTTTTTTTTTAAGCAGACTGGATGTGCAGGTGAAGAGAGCCTAGGGGTGGGGATGTTAGATCTTGCAAGATCAGAACCATGAAATAAAGAAGCCTCTCTATGCTGCCTGCTGTGTCCTGGATTCTTGCCTGGGGGGACATGGGAACTGGGTAAAGCTGGGAAAAGAGGGTTTTTCCCTCCTGGATACCATCTTGGATTTTGTGCCCATTCTACTGTCCCATCCCACCAGACATTTTAAATGGCCCTTGTTCTCCCCTTCCCTGCCCTTGCCTTCCGGCTCATTGTGTAGGAACCAGTGACTTCATGAAGCTTCTCCGGAGCCACCTGCATCCTGCTGCTCTGAAGTCACTTCCTGCCTGAAGTGTGGAAGAGGCAGGGAGAAACCAGGAAGCCACCAATAATACCAAGAAGCTGGGGGATGAATCTGTGCTGGACACCCCCTACCACCACCATCAAGGAAAATTGATAGGACTTGGATCCTATGAGAACAATAGAGGCTGGAGGTGGCAGTGAGAAGATTATGTGGTTAGAGCCAACATGCCAACTCCACCCCTCCTCCAGCAATGGTATCTTGAAATCTATCCATTGCCCAGTGCATACTTCTCTCCCATCCTTTCCCCTGTCCTGTATGTGTCTTGAGTGCACAGCTCTGTTCTTCCCTCTGGGCAGAGGGTAAAGGGTCACTAATTCCGATCAGTTACCTTCCTTTTGGACTCTGTGAAATAAGTTCATTAACATGGTCTCTGCAGTTCCTTCCAACATTTACAGTTTGAGATTGTGTTTCTCAGGCTTTTAAAATGCATGACCTGAATTAGATTTTTAAAAAGCAAATAAAAAAAAATGAAACAAAGACACTAAACTAAAACCTTTCTTCTCCCACTACAGCATATCCCCTGATGAAAATGAGACTAGCTAATATTACTTATTTCCTGTGACATGTCAGGCCCTCAACTAAGCATTTTGATGCATAGGTTATTTAATTCAACTCCCCTGACAGCTCTAAAAAGTAGGTGCTATGATTATCCCCAATTTACAGATAGAGAAGCCAACTAAGAGGTTCAACATCTTAGCTACGTTAATAAGGGAAGCCATGATTGAAAGGACAATTCTAAAGACTGCTCGTAACTACTATGTTATACCACCACACCATTTTCTACATCATTGGCATATTTCTCACCACCCAAAGTTTTTATTCTTTTTTCTTAAAAAAAGGTTTTTTGAATATGATTTTTATTTCACATGTAAAATTATAAGACTTAATATGCTCCTTAAAATCACACTGCTTCCCTCTCCCTATCCCTCCTGCACACACTTGTCTGGGTGTTAACCCTTGAGTCCAAGCTTCAAGGTCCTGGGAGCTTTATCAGGAAGAAACAGGCAGCAAAGCCATTAGTACTACATAAGGTGGAGGATACTGGTTAAGTAGGAGGGTCCAATTGCTCCAATAGTCATGGCCTGTCTCTTTTAGTTAGTCATGAGATCAAAAATTGGTTAGAAAGTGGTTATTACTAAGAAAAAGGTTCCAGCACCACTGAAGAAGGGGTAGTTGATGCTGGTAAGGCCCGCCCTTCCTCTCCCCGGTTATTTTTGGTCTCTGACTTGTAGGTTTCCTGTTAGTGGGAACAAGCAACATCACACAAATGAACACCAGGAATCCAACATCCCATTCCCCTTGTCTCTTCCCTTGGCCTTTGAACCCCTCAGTCTTCCAGGCATCTAGATTCTAGTGGACTCAGGAGCTTGGTCAGGTATTTTGTCTAATCTCATCTCAAAACCCCTCAGCACCCACACACCTGACCTTGCAACTCCTGGGCTCCTATTTAAGCAAATGAATGTTTTCCTCTCTTGAACCAGTTTACCCGCCACCAACCCCCATGTACTTCTTATGTGCGGGTCTTGGTACTGAAATCTGGACGAACTGGCGGGCTAGGTGAACAAGAGGCGGAAGCAGCCTCTTCGTACGTCCCTGCGTCACGTGGTGTCCACCCAATCGGCCTCCTAAAGTTCCCTCTTTACGCATGCTCCCCACTCAAGGCTCGGGTCCAGAACAATACTCTAAACCCCGCCCTGCTCTTCTGGCTCCGCCCCTGTTCAGTAGTCCCGCGTCCTCATTGGCGAGCTGGGAGGATGTTCGCCCAGCACGCCAGGTGCTGACACTTGCAATGATAAAAAAAATAATCCATACGGAGAACGGCGTGCCTGAAGGGTGTGGCCCAAACCCAGTGCCTCCCCCTGGATCCTCTACGCAATGTGAACCCACGCTACCATCTGTCCCACCCCAACCTAGATTCTCAGCCGCCGGGCAGCGGAGCCACGCCCCCGGGCGCTAATCGCCCGGGCAAGCACCCACCCGCCTGTTCTCTCCACCAATATCGCCCCGCTAGGAGAAAGGCGCAGGCGCCTCACGCAGCCTCTCTGCAGCTTTGAAGCACTCGTCAGTACCTTCTCTACCACCCTTTCCTCCCCTGAGCAGCCCCAAGCCGTCCGGCTGGCTGGCTGGCTGGCTGGCTGGACAGAGGTAGTGATTTCTGAGCCCAGCTACCGGGTGGATTCTTGGTGGCGACAGCTCTGTTCCTCCCAGATGGCGCTTAGGGCCGAGCCCCCCGACGGGGGCTGGGGATGGATGGTGGTGCTCTCAGCGTTCTTCCAGTCGGCGCTGGTGTTCGGGGTGCTCCGGTCCTTCGGCGTCTTCTTCGTGGAGTTTGTGGCGGCGTTTGAGGAGCAAGCAGCGCGCGTGTCCTGGATCGCCTCCATAGGAATCGCGGTGCAGCAGTTTGGAAGTGAGTGCTGCGCCTGGGTTCGGTGTCCTGCAACTCTCGGCAGGAGGAGGGGATGTGGGGACAGAAAAGGGGAAGGGTAGGGATGGCAGGGTGCTGGAAAAGGACGCCTGAAATCCCCTCACAGTACCTCTTCCTCTTCCGCAGGCCCAGTGGGCAGTGTCCTGAGCACGAAGTTCGGGCCCAGGCCCGTGGTCATGGCTGGTGGCGTCTTGGCTGCTCTGGGAATGCTGCTCGCCTCCTTTGCTACCTCCTTGACCCACCTATACCTGAGTATTGGGCTGCTCTCAGGTGAGACCCTGGGCACAGGCAGAAAAGTCAAATGCCTAAGTCTTTGCCCTCTGGACAATCTAAACATGTGGGGCAATTAGGAAATCCAGAGATGATAAGTCCAGAATATGCAAGCCCAGGGCTAGTGGGACTGGAGGGTAAAAGGAAGAATTCCATACTATAAAGCTGTGTCAGCAACCATGGCTGTGAAATAGATATTATCCTGTTTACAGATGAAGCAAGTCTTTAGAAGCATATGCAACTTGGCAAATGAAGATCACATAGCCAGAAATGGTAGAGCCCAGGTCTGACTCAAAATTCTGTGCTAGTTACTTTACAAACATTTTCTCCAAACCTCCATAGTCCCATAAAGTATATTACCCCCATTTTGCACATGAGGAGATTGAGGCTGGGATATTAAGTAAAATACACAAGGTCATACAGCTAGAAAGTATCAAAGCTAGGATTGTAACCCAGGTCTGTGCTACCTTCTGCTGTTGGACAGCGTTGGGATTACTGGATCCCCTGACTTCCTAAGAGTCTCCCAACCCCCATTTCTTCCTATTTGACAGGCTGTGGCTGGGCCTTGACCTTCACTCCAACCCTGGCCTGCCTGTCCCGTTACTTCTCTCGCCGGCGGTCTCTGGCCACAGGCCTGGCGCTGACGGGCGGGAGCCTCTCCGTTGCCTTTGCCCCATTCTTCCAATGGCTGCTCAACCACTATGCCTGGCGGGGGGCCCTACTGCTGGTGTCTGCTCTCTCCCTCCACCTGGTGGCCTGCGGTGCTCTCCTCCGTCCACTTTCTCTGACTGAGGACCCTGCCATGGGTGGCCCTGGGGCCCAACTCATCTCCCTCCTCCGTCATGGACCCTTCCTCTGTTATGCTGTTGCCCTTACCCTGATCAACACTGGCTACTTCATTCCCTACGTGCACCTCGTGGCCCATCTCCAAGACCTGAATTGGGATCCATTGCCTGCTGCCTTTGTACTCTCAGTAGCTGCTATTTCTGACCTTGTGGGGCGTGTGGTTTCTGGGTGGCTAGGGGACACAGTCCCAGGGCCTGTGGCACGACTCTTGATACTCTGGACTACCGTGACTGGGGTGTCACTGGCCCTGTTCCCCGTGGCTCGGGCTCCCACAGCCCTGGTGACTCTGGCCGTGGCCTATGGCTTCACATCAGGAGCCCTGACCCCAGTGGCCTTCTCCGTGCTGCCTGAACTGGTGGGGACTGGAAGGATATACTGTGGCCTGGGACTGGTGCAGATGGTAGAGAGCATCGGGGGACTGCTGGGGGCTCCTCTGTCAGGTAAGGGGAATGGGGTTTCTGGGTGGCTGGGGCTGCCATGTCATACCATTCAGGCAGGGGACTATTCACATTATAGTGAATATAAATGTTGTGCTCTGGTACTGTATACTATACAGCTTGTATAGCCAATCATAGGAAGCCTGAAGTGGGTCCATGGGGCTGTGGAAAGACTAAAAGGAACTATTTGAAACCCTTGGCAGGGTGCCTGCAGCTTGGGTTTTCAGAGGACCTAGCTGGACTTGGCCGGACATAGGATGTCACTTCTGCCCTTTCCCTTGGCCCTCAAGTATCTGAGCTATCTGGCCAAAGTTCTCCAGCCTCCAGATGCCAGAACCTTCAGACCCTTAACATTTGCCTCTTAACCATTAACCAAAGGTATAGAAGGGAAGGCCACAGTTGCCAGAAAAAAAGGCAGAGGTTACCTGACTTGATCTGGATTCCCCAAATCCTCACTGGCTGGTTTGGAAGTCTTTTCTGAAGGTGGGAAGGTGACTGAAATTACCTTTTGAAGCCCCTTGGGAAATGAGAGTTCTTAAGCTCATTCAGTCTTACCTTGGCAGTTCTAACTCTTCCAAGCTGATGGATTAAGGATTATTTTCTTCCTTCCACCCAAAAATGTGTCTGAGTCATCAGTCCCAGGCAACAGATCACTCATGTGTATTCTTTTTCTCTCTTGGACATAGGCTACCTCCGGGATGTGACAGGCAACTACACAACTTCTTTTGTGGTGGCTGGAGCCTTCCTTCTTGCAGGGAGTGGAGTCCTCATCATTCTGCCCCACGTCTGCTTCCCAGCTCCTACCTCCAAGCCCCAGGACTTTGTAACAGAGGCACTGGATATCAAAGTCCCCCTGCCCAAGGAAGGGCCAGGAGAGGACTGAGTTCAATAAGGGGCTGTCAGACCCAAAAAGCCAGAGGTTGGCAGCTCTAGGTCTTTTCATCCTGCCCCATCTTGATGCCCATAGAACCACAGTGCCTTAATCTATTCTTGATCTATCTTCTGCCACAGCAGGCCCAGGGCTCCTGCGATGTGTATACCAACCCTTTGTATTTTGTTGAGGACTTCTATCTCTTCTTTGCTCCCCAACCTTTTCTGCAGGATCCAGGAGTTCAGCCTGCTTCACTGAGCTGTGAATCAACTGTGAAAATCAAAGGCCAAGAGACTTATTATGTTTTACAGGTGATCCCTGGTGTTACCCACTAAGTTTCTTTGAAGACAGATGTTTGGGAAAGAGGGATGCCCGTTTTGAGATAAAACTGAATAAGAAAACTAGATAATAATTAGAAACTCAGAAAGAGCTGGGGCCTGTATGCTTGGGTTGGCTGGATGGGGTCGTGGCTGGGAGGTGGAGGGGAGGTCTCCAAGAGCTCTGGTGACCTTGTGCATTTTAACCCTGTACTCTGCTCTCTGGACCACAGTTGCTCCCACTTGCCCACTGATCTTCCTC